GGGGATGAATTCTGTATTACATTTCTTCGCCCCCTTGAGTGCTTCTTTTTCAAGGAAACTGTTGACTTTCTGAAAGAAATGCTTGGAGTATCAGCTATGGCACGTCTGTCTTTGTCTTTACCAATTTCATCATGTTTGATGCTGGGGGCATTGCGAAATTATAGTCTGTCTTAAATTGTCCTTTGGCGAGAGTCCGTCTGAAAAATTTCAGAAAATTGAAAATTTGCTCGCCAAACTTGGAGTAAGTTCACTTTTGCATTTACTGCTCAAGCAAATAAAATTATGGCTGAATAGACTAATGATAATGCACACAGCTGACTGACCTTAGGTCATTGTGTCTGCGAAGAGCATAATTCATAACATTCTCCTTATTCTCTTTGCCTGCTAAATTACTTCAGATTGGATATCGTTAGATATGAGATGTACAACCAACCTTGAGCATTTGCTGCTGTCACTGCTAGCACCTAAATAAAAAGTCAGTAATACTGGACGACTCTGAACAAGAAGACAGCACCTCCAAAACAGTACCTAGGCCAATGACCTGCCTGCGAAATACGAGTGTAAAATTGAACCAAGCGAAATTAAGAGATTGAACGTATTATGACCTTTTCATGCTATTCTCAGCTTTTCTACGTCGCGCACTTATGCTTATGACACTAGCGAAGTATATGGAAGTGTAAAAAATATATCTAAATATCAAAAATTAAGAAATAAGCTCAAAACTTCTATTCGTACGTCTAGTCAATTCATCATCTACAAAGTAACAAAACACAGAAGCAAACATCGCTGAACATCACAGAGTAGAACACCTTGTCCTTCATAACGGGCAATGGCTCGCTCATCTTCGCGTACTTCTCAATACTGGGCATTAACTTATAATAGTTAGGAGGCAGCTCTTAGCTTCACTCTGCCGTTTCTTCTCTAGGTGTCTAGAGAGGAAACGGCAGAGTGAAGCTGTATGGATAGGTAACGTACATGTTTTGCCTACAAGAAAAGTTTCAGTTTGCCACCTG